TAATTTTTATTTCAAATCAATTTGACTGCACGGATGGCGTAGTGGTTAAACGGTCGCTACGCCCTTTTCTATTGCACTGAGTGTTGTGGATTACGTCCCCAAATGGGACACCGCTTTGTGTGATCCGCAAATTGTTGTCCTAAGTCTGGGTGATCTTTGTGTTCGTTTCATGTATGTTTGTGAAGTCCCTCACTACACAGGATATTATATATTCCTATGCGGAAGTTGTCTTTAAAAAAGAAAACAATGTATCGATAAATCCTTAGTTTTTTACATCACACATCATCATGATACTTTTTGCTTTGCATAACCAATCTGTGGAACAAGTTATCTACGGTATTTCCGGACCGATACGACCTTCAAAAAAAAAAGCGTACTCCTTTCTAAGAGACCGGCAACGCGATTGTGCAGAACGCCCATAAACTCCTGTGTTGCAGGCGTTTATGGGCGGCGGTAGTCACTCTCCAGCAGGTGACCCATCGTTTGCCCCCTCTTCCAAAAAAAAGACACGCACGCAACAGTTGTATCATCTGGTTATTTATACCTACTTTTTAAAGTGATTTGATTTTGTTGTACTTAATAATTATTTTATAGATTTCTTTACACTTTACTTCAGTTTGATTAAGATCCAAAACTTGCTGTTATTAAGAAATTAAATAAAATTCTTGAAGTTAATTTAAATACCGAGTGTGTTTATCAAAATAATCGATTATTGGATAAAAATCCGAGGTTTCAACATGCGCTGTCAAAGTGTCAATGGCGCGTATGTGTTTGAACTTGTGCACTGCTAACATCTAAACTACTCTACAGTCAAAAACTGCAGATTTCGTATTGATCGAGTCCTTTTCTCCACCGGAATTGTGATATTCATTGTAATTTTTTTCTTTGTGTCAATCACCAACACTAACTTTGTAAAACGCCAGGACGTTTATTATGTATATTTACGAGTAACGACAATTATTTCAATAAAGTGTACACTTTTGTGATTATTTCTTTGTTTTACAAATAATTGACGGAAAATGTCGACCACTTCACGTGAAGAACATAGATCGGCGAAACCGGTGTATCAACCGTTCTTTTGCGTAGATACTCCTTAGAACTAGCGACCAATTCGTTGATCAAAGTATTAGAGTCATAGATAGCTCCTACATATGCAAATGATGATGATAATCATCAAAGCTTATTTTGGCTACAGCGACCATCTGTTGCTACTTCTTAGTTCGTACATGTTCGTAAAGTTCGTACAAAATATATTAAAATCCTTGAGAAGAAGTCAAACGCCTTAGCAATAAAATTAGCAGCTTAACACAATGTGCAATAAATCACCTCAATGGAATCATATACTCGTATTTCACTGATACATAATACCTAAAACTAGCTAGCTGACAAATTGTAGCCTACGCTCGCAGGCTACGGTTTCCCAATATAATAAAGATGTTCACAAATTTTCAGAACTGCTTTCGTTTTATAGCTTGGCCCCTAAAAGAAACGACTTTGACAAATTCGCGTGAAGACTCATCGCATTTCATTTCGTCATAAATCGATTAGCTCTGTGAATTCTTCATAGAGTAGAAATATAGACAAAAATACGAAACCAACTGATACTTTTAATAATATACATCACACTATACATTCAAGTAGGCTATATAAGTTCTACGTATCAACCCTTCGTTCAACCCTAATGTGCTCTCCCACGAGCCACGTCACCTGTCCGCCTAATCACGACGGTCTTGTCAATCCTTTCAACCTATTTCCACCCGTTGCCATGGGAATCAAACTCGCGTTCAGCCGCCATTTTGAATTTTCAAATGCTGTATGTCGCGAATATATGTATATACATATAATTGTTCTGAAATTTGAATAGGATTTCCCTTTTTTAAATATCTCTTAAGTGAGGATGTTTATTTTTAATTCCTTGTGACTGTTTGCGCATTATTCACATCTGATGGTGATTTCGTTCTGTGACTGACCTGAGTAAGGGATAACGAAAAAGTTTACACAAAATTACCTATGTCATCCGGGAACGTCATCTGTCGTGTTAAATTAGGAGGTTTTATCAATGATATTTTAAGGAAGATACGTTATATTCATACTGCACGCACAAAATATTTGTTCCGAAACCGTACATACTCGTACATCTTTTAATGCATTTTAGAACAAAACATACACTTACCTGTGATATAATATACCTCTATCTTTATTTACCTTGCTGTCGTAGTTTGTGCAGTTTCGGCATACACAGGAAGGCTTTTTATGAGTTTTCTCTAATTAATCATTACGTGCACTCGCTCGCAGTTATTAATACTTATTAGGACCCCTTGCGTTTTGGGCGTTGCTGGCGTATCTACCTCTTGTTTGTATATAATATCACACGAGCAGACGGGTCACGGTGATAGCAAGTGACTTCCACCGCCCATCATCATCAACATCTATAACAGTCCACTGCTGGAAAGGAAGTTTTGGCATTCTACACTTATAACACACTTATAAGTAGGTAATAAAATAAAATAAATAAATAAAAAATGTTTATTGACAAAATAAGTAACTTACATTAGTATTGAACTTAGACACACTTAGACAATAAATCTTGCTTTCATTTTTAAAAAGGAATGAAGTAGATCATTGATGGGCCTGTTGGTCTAGTGGTTAGTGACCTTGGCTGCTAAGCCAGAGATCATAGGTTAGATTCCCACCCAGAACAAATTATTGTGTGATGAGCACGATCATTTCTCATTCGTCATTTTACATATCAGTGTTCAAATCTCAGATATCATCATCATCACATCAACAGCCTATACTAGTCCACTGCTGGACATAGGCCTCTCCTTAGAAAGGAGGTTTTGGCCTACTATACCACGCTGGCCAGACGGGTTGGTATAGGGTTTGTTTCAAGTTTTCCTTCTCTTTGCAGTGCTGTTGTCCTGCTTAGTTTGCTCCCTTAGTCGGCTCTTACGACACCCACGGGATGAATTGGGGTGGTGACAATTTGTATTCTTAATCCGTCACCACACGGACTGATCTCAGATATACCTATTTGAAATTCACTGATAAATTATTCTTGAATAAATCATTAACATTATCATAATCATGAACTATCATATAACCTGTCTTATATCACAATAAATTTCACGCAACGTAATAGCTTAGTAATGTAAGTTTAATGTATTGGTATTTCCCGTTAGTAAACGAGTAATTACTTATACGAGGAAGCGGTTGCACTGTGAAAACCGCTTCACTATGAAAACCGCTTCTTCGCAAAAGAGATTCATTTGTCATCATTTAGACCTTTGACCTGAAAATTAAAAAAAAATAAGTTTAGCTCGTGGTTTCCACCACGTTACTATAGAGGTTATCAATCTATTGGCAATTAATTACACGGAGAAAATGTTTCCTCTAAATGAAATGTAGGCACCTTATACTCGTTCTGTGCCTTTGATTTAATAATAATAATATTTCGGACATCTAACATACAACGCCATCAAGTTTCAAACTAAACAGAGCTTGTATTATGAAAGCTAAATTGACTGATATACTTTTTAGCCCATGAACCCTTGTAACACAAGAGTAACAAGGGCTTTTCCGGCCTTGGAGGGAGAGGACGCTCTTTTCTTGTAGATTTAAAAGTCATATCCATCCGTAAATACCAAAAATATTACGGGTGATCATGGTCACAGCTTACCAACAATCTGTTCTTACCAATATCTATATATTGCAAAAATACATGCAAATGATGTACAATTTTTTCTGTTCAAAGTAGGCAGGCTAAGACAACAGCGGTTATTCTATTTTTAACATCATTATTTTTAGTATATAAGCGATAAATTGGGAAATAAAATTGGGAAAAGGGTAGGCAGATGAAGCGATAAGTTACGATGTAGCAATATGTAAAAAGTCAGTCCCAGGAAAGTTTCGAGGTAACTTCCACTAACACTAACAATAGGTTTACTTCTAATTAATAATTGGAAGTAAACCTAATGATTATTATTGATTGCGAGACCCATTATTTGAATATGTAGTTGCGGTGTACGAAGCAAATTTAACTTTGTCGATTGGGAAATAGTGATTAACTGCAAATTCATGAAGTCGAATCATGAGAAACCGCTAACCGCTTAAGGCTATTCTTTCCATATTTTTTTATTTTTAATATAATCTGCATAATAATTTTTGTTATTTAATAGTTTCATGTTGACTCTTAGACTCTGTCTAACCAGAATCAGGTCTGTCTGGAAATAAAATCGTTTCAGATTTTTTTTCAGATTCAATTTTACATCTTTGCATAATTAGGGGGATATACATATTGCCTACTTAGGCTCATGTTCTCAAATTTGAAGACAATGCTACGCCTAAAGTGGAAAATTAAATGACAAAGTATCCAGTTTTTTACAATTCGTTAACATTCGGAACATTAAAATCAATGATATTTTTCTTTAATGTCAATTTTTAAATTGTAATTATGAATTTAATTTGACTACATACTCTCTTGCATACCAGATAAATTACTGACTGCCTGAAAACAATAATAGATATAACATTATACTGACAAGTCGTGGATAAGATAGAACATGAGAGATTCAATGTTGAAAATATACTTTAAAATAAGATACCAAGTAACGGAAATATACCCCTACGTAAATTTTGCGGTTATGATGTGAGGCTTTATATGTACATTGCACTTTAATTACATATTCCAGAAGAGTTCGGATGATCATTGCTAACGAGTTTGCGTGTGCGCTCACCCTCACTTAAACTGACTTATAGGACGAACGAATCAACATATAGCCATCGTTTTCACTCCTATGACATATGGCTGTCTATCTCTCTCTATACTCAGGCTATCGTAAACTTGACCTCTAAGATATAGTTGCCATAATTTTCTTTTGTCATTCTTGCAGTGTCTAGTACGGGTGGCGTTCGTGGCCATCCGATTAAATATAAACTTTTTTTTGTGTGTGTTCATACAAATAGTGGTTTTAATAATTGGCGGGAAATTTCCTTTAAAAATGGTAAGAATTGTGTTTACAAAATATTGTGTTGTGTTGTTATAAATGTGCAATTACGTTATTCTGTGTAATTAGTCCGTGTAGGAAGTTTTTTAAGTGTTGTGGTTGAATGTCAATCGTACGTGGTGATCAAAATGGTCGAGGACCGGTTTGTGATGCGATGGAGCTGGCTTTTATTATTAAATTATTGAGAAGTAATTGTTGTTAAAGACTTGAAATAATTCTAAAAACAAAGATGTCTCGCAAGAGTTTGTTGATTAAGAACTATTTCTTGAAATTTGATTTATAGAAAGCTTTTACGTGCTTCAAAATTACAAATTCCTTGAAATCTAGAACCTAATAGGTACTGGCAAATATTTTAAAACACAAAATACTTTTAATGGATTTGTTGTTCAAAACTATTTACTAAACGTTTGATTTATGAAGACGTTTGTTTTTTTATTTGTGGCGAGACAATAAAATATTTGAGATACTCGTAACAACAGCAACCTGTGTCCAGCAGTAGACTATTAGAGGCTGTTGATGATGATGATGACTCGTAAGAAAAGGTTGATTATTGTTCATACTTATGTCTCGATATGGGTAGGTACTTTGATATAGAAATCATTATTATTTTTTAAAAGGAACATAAATATTTCTAAACTACTTATTAAAGTCCGTGTGGTGACGGATTTAGAATACGGAATGTCACCACCCCTATTCGTCCCGGAGAGCAAACTACGCAGAACAACAGCACTGCAAAGAGAAGGAAAACTTAAAACAAACCCTATACCAACCCAGCTGGCCAGCGTGGTATAGTAGGGCAAAACCTCCTTTCTAAGGAGAGGCCTATGTCAAGCAGTGGACTGTTATAGGCTGTTGATGATTGATGATATTGATGACTTATTAAAAAACTTTGATAACATATAAAACAACACAGTATACAAATATACTTTTCAATATCAATTCAATTTCATTACTTCTATTCGTCAGGAAGCTTATCAGTTGTAAACATTAACTCAACTATGTTTTATTTATCTATAAACAAGTTACTAGATACTATAAACTTGGATTATAATATCGGAGCAAATCAAATAGTTTTACGTCATTTAAACTTAGACAATAGATAAATTCTTCAAATGTTTACCGGATGTTTCAAAGTTCAGAAAGCAAAATAGTTTTAAAGCCAATTTAGAAGTCAATACACGCAATAAACATGATAGTAGGAGGTCCTTGAAAATTATTCGTTTTAATCATTCAAGTTTTGTAACAATCTTTAAAAAAATATCCGAGGCAACGAAACTAAAACATCGAGGTCATGCTGTGATCCATCAATCAATAAATAAAATTTGTTTCATACGGACATCCCTTTGGCGTCGCTTATTGCTTATTTTACGCCATAAGAGCAAGCCATCCAAATGACAACATGAAATAATTTTCAGACGAGGTTCCAAAGACACGTTGTCATGTATCCTAAAGTCCCGCTGAGAGGAAAACCCCAATCAGAGTACAAGAAAATTGTATGCCTGAATCTGCCTGATATTTGACTTATTGCCAACAAAGATTGTTTTTATATGATGTGGCAACCTCGCTGTTGTCTCAGCAACATGCGGTTGATTCTCACCATTGATTGTGGTATCTCGGGAAGGATAGCCTTATTTTATCGAAAAGCATAATTAAATCCAATTAGTGATAGAGTGTAAAATTACTTTAAATATATTTACAAAAGAACTTTAATTTAGAAGACGAAATAAATGCCCACATACGTTAAACTTTTAAACCATGAAGTCGGTTAAAAATAATACATAACATAAATTATGTACACAATAAAAATAGAAAATACTCGTCTAAATTTTAAGTTGGAGTCAAAAATCAAAGACAGACGTTTCATTTGCTAAATACATATATTTTGCCGCAATACGTCTAATTACACAGGTCAACTAAAATTTAATCTAGAAATCCAAGTATACTTTTTAGTAGGATTTTGGTGCGCTGACTCTAAATCCGGCCGCAGAATTGCTCTATTGCTCACGTCAGGTTTTTTAGATATTCTAACCTAAAAGTGCAAAAAAAACACCATTTTTGCCAATTTTTGAGGTAATGTAACTCTTCAAATTTTATTATGCCTAAAAACACAGTACACAGGGTATCTTAAAGTTCAAGTCTTCAGCTTTCAAATGACGTTGAGTTTGCTTAAATATCTTTTTTTTGCAATTTTGTTGGCCTGTGTTATTTTTGTACTGATGCTAATAAGGTACTGTTTTGATTGCCTTACTAAACTTCAAATAATAGATTGTAAGGTAGCCACGAACACAAATATGCTAACCAACCAGATCACTGTGTCTCACTTAAAAATTGCCAGATATTTTTAATCATAGTGCTGTAACTAATTTGAATGGTTTTCTTTACCAACTTCAAATACAAAGCAATCTTAATACCCAACTCTCATGAGTAACATTCATAACAATGAAGGTATATTTCTCCAAACTAAGTATAAACCAAATACAAACCTAATATATAAAGACGTGAACTGGGATTTACGCCAAACTTGTTATTAAAAGTTGAGAACATTAACATATATTACACTAGATATATTTTACGTCAAAAAAACCCGCTACTGTTGAGTATTAAATTAGCAAAAAAATTTACATTTTATAATATAAACAGTTAGGGTTAACCCACATCCGATGCTACGTTCTTCTAAACTAAAAAAATACTTTTTTAATTATAAAGTCAACTCGTCTATTTCGCGTGATGCTTGTAGTAGGGTAGGACTTTCATTTTTATTTCTTATTTTTTAAGATAAGTTTTTCTTTCTTTAAGTCCGTGAAAAAATCGCAAATCATGAAAGCCTTAATCCATTTTTTTTAGGACTTAAAAAACTGGAAAATTAACTATTATACCTACTACCTACAACTATGTTATGTTCTTTTTTTCTGCTCTGAAGTAGGATCGATAAAGGTCCTCAGGAATGTATAAATTAGTCGAAAGATGACACTATTATTGGTTTTGCAAAAGCTGTTCGCATGGATGGTTTATCCGTGTGAACAGCTTTGTACTGTTTATTTACCAAATTAGTTGCACAACATAAAGTAACATAAAACTTTTAAACTTTTCTGTTCATTCATATATAATTAAACGATTATACGATTATGATGCGATTGATCGCTATATTTAAATATATTTATAAAAAATATAAATACATAGAAATAAAGCGATCAATAGGTATTATATAACTCTGAATAGATTGCCTTCGACCAGGTTGCACCGCAATCACAGACTCATAAATAAGACACTAAAAACCAGAAACAAGCTGAATTACTCAGCTCTCCATGCCATCTGTCATCGAGTCCTCAAACAACCCCCCCATTTTCGATGTTTCGCAACCGCTTTCTTATTAAATAAGTTCCGATACAAAAGGTTTCTCTATAACAACTAAATTAGATGGCGTATAGATGAGTAAGACAATGGACAAATGATTAAAATATTTTATTTGTGAAATTACTTATTCTGAATAATGGAATATCTGAGCTGATAACCATGGTTTTTTGTTAATAGTTTTTTTTATATTATATTTTTTTTTTATATATATAATGTAATCTATCATTACCTCAAATAATAGTTTATTAGAGTTAGGGCAGGGGCTGACTCGGCGTTTTTACAATAGAAAGATACTTCGTATACGTCAGAGTCAATAAATAAATATAGGCACTTACAAACAGTCACGTTAAAGTACAAATATCTATATCATGACACTAAATATTGTCTCGAGTAGAAATTAAACACTCAACTCTTTATTAAATATATTTTTCTTTTTTATTTATTTATATAATTTATATTTGACAGGTACTCCTATGTGATCAGACCTACATATGACACGACATCAAATGACAGTTGTCGAGGATATAATGCTTTGCAAGTTTTACAATAGAATTTCTCTTATCTTTCAAGAGCTTTTAAATAACAGCTAACAGTTTGTTTAACAGCTGTAGTACAAAGGTAGCTGAATGCCAAGTCAAATCAGTAACTCTCTATTAAATGTCAAACAATAACTTCGGTAGAAACTTTGGACAAACAATTCGTGACGTCATTCCGATTAGTCATAAAACTTATTTTAATGATACTTTACCTTATATATATTATGACTTTATAATTGACAAAAAAAAGTTGCTTAGCGCGTAGGTCTCTAAGATAATCGTTTTTCTTTGTTTAATCATTCTGTCTTTAAGAATCTGCCCTCCGCTACAGTTTTAAATACAGTCGGCCACTTGAACTAGAATTTAATGTATTATATTTGAGGCTTCGCTGAATCTTTTTTCAAATATAATTAAAAATATATTTTTTGACGCTTAAAATATTGCAAAAATATGAATTATATAAATAAATAAAAAAGAAAAATATATTTAATAAAGAGTTGAGTGTTTAATTTCTACTCGACACAATATTTAGTGTCATGATATAGATATTTGTACTTTAACGTGACGGTTTGTAAGTGCCTATATTTATTTATTGACTCTGACGTATACGAAGTATCTTTCTATTGTAAAAACGCCGAGTCAGCCCCTGCCCTAACTCTAATAAACTATTATTTGAGGTAATAATAGATTACATTATTATTAATAAAAAAAACTCTTAACAAAAAACCATGGTTATCAGCTCAGATATTCCATTATTCAAAATAAGTAATTTCACAAATATAATATTTTAATCATTTGTCCATTGTCTTACTCATCTATACGTCTAATTTAGTTGTTATAGAGAAACCTTTTGTATCGGGACTTATTTAATAAGAAAGCGGTTGCGAAACGGGTTTAATTTACTCCTCGGAGATGAAACAAGGATATACTTATGTATAGTGGGGTGGTTTCGGAAATGTAGGGCACATTTCAGCAAGTCGTTCGCTGACATTTTCCCTCTTTTAGAGAATGCGTGAGATATTTCGAGAATATAGTGGAGTTAGAAAATAATAGAAGAGAAAAGAGTTTAGAATAAACAAGAAGAGACAGGCTAGCAAGCATTATATA